CTTCATTACTTTCAGTGACCTGAAGTCAGAAGTGGCAACTCCTCATATTTTTATCACAGGTTCTCTTTGTATTATAAAGTGCCATTATGCCAGTCTGATTCTAATAGGCTGTAGCAATGTAAATATCTTTATAAAAAACTAAAGGGTCCTATATACCACCCAAGGGCTACAAGCGATGCAACAGTAGCAGGTGCTTCCAACCAACAGGTTAAAAATGTAGAGAATAAAGAGATCATCGTTCTCCATTACAATTCTCCATTACAAAGCCAGCACTGCTTCTATGTTAGAAAGGACAGACCGTGATCTCACCACCTGTTGCTGTAGATGAGGCATGGCTCTCCTCAAGGTGACCATTCATCTTACTATGTTAATTGGATAGTGACCTATCCAAGCTCCAAACATTTCTGGTGTATTTTTAATGTAATGTTCTCTCTAGAACTAAGTGGATTTGTACAATCAGAATCCTTGTGCATGGGAGAGCTGACTGTCCTTCACATATCTGTATGGGGTGCCGATCGGTCCCCTCCGCATGTCGCCTGTGTGACAGGGGATCAGAGGGAGCTTGTTACACGAGCTCCCTCCGGTCTCCTCTCCTCTGCAAGAATGCGGAAGTGTTGTATAATACATCACTTCCGCATTCTTGTGTCACTCTCCAGCTTCAGAAGCTGGAAAGAAGCTGATGGAGAAGATGTCTGCTTCATCAGCTTCTTTTGGGGGGTCCTAGGTGACATTAGGGGTCTTGGAGACCCCTGATGTCTCCATAAAGAGGACCTGTCACATATTTTGCTATCACATAGTGTAGGGATATACCGATGCTAGCATCTGAATCGGGCCCGATACAGGGCATTTTGACAAGTAATTGTACTTGTCAAAATGCCTAGCGCCGAAGCTTGCGCTGTTTTTTTTTCTTACTTACCTCGCCGAGCGTCGCGTCACTGCTGCTCCGGTGGGTGGCGCTCCAGGTGGGGTCCTAGTTTAGGTGGCCGGAGACTGCCAGATCACCCCGCCCACCGGAGCAGAAGGTCATGCTGAGACTTGTAGTACCTCAAGTGCTGAGATATATGGATTGTAAAGGCTTATTATGTAATAAAGTGGCAGGACATGGCACTGCCCAGCAATGTAGGCCATGCTGATGCTGCTAGTTCTCCAATCTTAAACAGATCAGATGAGATGACAGAGCAGAGCAGATGATATCAGAGTGACCATACAGTCAGGATACGCCTGCGGATATGTGTGATAGCCCCACAGGAGATGGCGGAGCTCACGATGGGGCAGAACATGCTGATACCTGTAGTTCCCCAGTGGTTACATAAATGAAAGCAACACCCATGATGACTAGATGTTCCATTAGATAACACAGGGGATGCCAGTGTCCTATGGCAGTGCTCAGTAACTGCACAATGGGGCATACCTGTACCTGTATTTTAACCATGAATAGGTTAAATCATGATCCATAGTACATAACATGTAGTTGTACTATGGATCATTTAAAGTCACCTGTCCCTTTTAAATAAAAGAATCGATAATTGGTATCGGCAAGTACATGAGGGGAAGTATTTGTACTTGGTCCTCAAAGTGGTATTGGGACATCCCTAACATAGGGGAGTTTAATTAGCCCCCGTATGTGATAGCAGTAAAGTTTAGTGGAAAAAAAGGGGAAAAAAATGTAAGTTCCCCCCCCCAAAATTTTTTTTTTAAAGTTACACCTAAAAAAGAATAAAAAAAACAAAAAAAAATTTAAAGTCCCCCCCCATACATACACGCATGCAAACATGCGTCGGGGGCGCATACGTGCAAAAAAGACGATTGCGCCCATTACGCCGTACATGTTACATATCGCCGCGAACGTCGGAGGGAAGGCAATAATTGTAGGGCCATCAATCACTGATAACACTAAACTGATGAGCGGTAAAAGCTTTTAAAGCGTC